TCGATCTCGAGTCGCGCACGAAAAGAACATAATAACTCATACCGAGTATGAGAGCGGGAGAATTCGGGGACATTGAAAGATTGGAGGTAACGTCCCGACGAAAACTGTCGCGCAACAGTGACGTGGAGGAGATCGTGGCGCCCCTCCCGAGGAGATCGCAGCGCAAGACAAGAGCCGCGAAAAATTCTTTGAGAGTCGCATGACCCATGACCATACCTAATACACGACGCCATTGTCGGCGAGCCTGCAACGTTTCGGTCAAGAACAAAAGGGGATATAAGGTTTAGACTAGGGCATGGCTAACAGATGCGGGATGTATGCAGAAAAGAAATGGCGTGCATGCGCGCGTGCGTGCGTACGCGCACGCTGCGTGATGCCCAACCCTTCCCCCGAATGAAGCGCGTCTCTTTTTAAACTCCTTTAAACGTACAACGGTCAGGGCTCCTGTATACAAATTTCCATTACCGTAGACGTAAGACGTAAACTTACGAAACCAATCAGAATATTGCTTCAGTTTTGCGTACTCTACACGGAAAAAAGAATTCTGTTGGTGCAACCGAGTTTTCGGTTGTTCAGGGATCAAACTCGACTGTAGGAACAAAAAAATTCCTTTATGAGACTTCCGTATAGACAATTGTCCTCAGTTGCCTCAACCGAGTTCTAATATTGTTGCATGTTCAGACGAATATTTTCGGTTGCGACAACAGAAATATTAGTTTTCATAACAGACATATCGTTTCTGATCACCTAATTTTCAGTTGGTTCCTATTTGGTTGCACCAACTGAAATTTTTTTGCGTTTAGAAGAAGATAGAGCTGTCGTAGTCTAGAAGAAGATAAAACTGATTATTATGCAGAAGTAATTAAGATCCAATCGATTAAAATTCTAGTTACTCAGTCTAAGTTCTAGTTACATCGTTACTATCTTCTTCTAGAGTACGCAAAGATAAAGCAATATCCTGATTAGTTTTTCTGTTTAATTTTACGTCTTATGTCTACAGAAATTGGTGTCCGAGAGCTCTCGACCAGACTTGTGATGATCTGAATCGTATCCGTGCACAGAAAGAATTCTATGGTAAAAACTAATACAAAACTGAGGTTTAAAAAAATCTTATATTTCCTTATTTAAAAAAATACTTTATATTAATATAAGTAAATATGTGTTATTAATATCCACTGAATAAATATTAATTTTTCCAAATATTTTTGTTCTCATTGTATTTGTTCTCTAGCGGAATTGTTTCTTAGAACGACTGGCATTGCTGACAGTATACTTCTGTACTACATAGTAAAATTCTTGCGGGCAGTCTGCGCGGTAAGGAGATGTTTGCTGCTAATGAGAGAGCCGGGTAAACGCGAGAGAGCGCGTCACGGAGCGAGCGCGCGCGGCTAGGATTGTTCTTGAGGATTTTAAAATATGCAAGCACGCCGGCGAGCACGTGGCGAGTCTGTGAATCATTCCTGTCGGCATAGCCGACGGACCTCACCCTCCTCAGTTTAGTCACGATCCAGCTGTCGAAGTTGCGTTTTCGGGGGTCGGCCCGGCATCATCGATCTGGCGCGGCGTGCACGGCGAGCGTAATTCTACGGGGCTATACCTTGGGAACAATAATTCCGCCCGGCAACTTTCCTCGGGGTTCATTGAACCCCTAACGAGATTCCCGTCGATATTTCGTGCTCGAAATCGATCCTGGCCTCGCCGTGTTGTACACGACGTTGCGACGGTGCGCGAAGTTATTTAGAAGTACCGGGAACGCGCTCGCGTAAATGCAGTGTCACGCGAAACCGCCGGCCAATTTCAGCGATGTATGGCGATTCTATCCCCGCGGACGTAATTGCGACTGCACTCTCAAGCGCACGTGCGCGCGCAATTGATTGCGCAGATCGCCCAGATCGAGAGAGGCATCGTCCTCGAATGCGCGAGACGACTGTCACACAGTGCGATGTCACTTTGAGCCCGCGGACATCGATCGCGAATTCGTCCTGCAGATAACAAGTCGCTCGCCGTGCCACGCGGAAGGAGGAGCGAAGGAAGAGCTTATAGCGCGCTGAATTAATTTCGCGGAGACATGCGAGAAGCCGGTCGACATTCCTAGGCACAACTAGGAGAGGAAGTTTTAATGCGGCCGATTAGCCGAAGTATCTAGGGACACCGTGCGAATACCGTAACAGCCTATCGAGCGTCTTCTTGCGGCCCGGAAGTAGCGTTGCGTTTAGACAAAGACGCGTAACAAGCTGAAGTCGCGTAATTTCAACTGTAATTTCCACAGTAGTTTCCTGTAGTATCCAGGGCTAGTTTTAACTTTGTCACTCTGCGTAAGTCGAAATTTTGGCTCTACTCTTGACCTGAACTTTTTAACATCTGCGTGGAAAAAAAGGTTTGGTTAAATTAACTAAATATCTGGTCGAATATGATCCGATTGAAGTAACCCGAATTCTGTTTAAGTTAACAAGATTTTTGGTTGACTGACCAAACATATCTGGTTATTTAACAGACATGTTTGGTTAGTCAACCAAAAATCTCGTTAACTTAAATAGAATTCGGCTTACGTTCATATTCGATCAAACATTTGATGAATTCAATCAAACCTTTTTTTCCATGTATGTATTCTGAAGGATCAATGTGTGTTTAATACACATGGAAACTGAAGTCCTACTCATTGCCTCTAAATGGTGGAAAAATAACCACTTTCGACACAAAGTGACCCTTTTGTCCTCTTGGTAAAGTTGGTAAGTTAAGTGAAATAGGTTGATATAGGTTTTAGAGTGTTAGTACTTAAAGTAGGCATTAAATGAAATATTCAGGTCAGAAAGAAGGATCAAAATGTCAACTTGGTTAATAACGAGCCCATTGTTACTCAATCGAAATTTTAGTCCTACTCTTGACCTGAGCTTTCCAACATCTATGCTGAAGAATTATATGTTTGATACATATGAAGACTGAAGTCTTACTTGGCGCCTCTAAATGGCAGGAAACGCATAAAATACTACTTGTAGGTTTCAAAAAGGACTTCTCGGCAAGGCTAGTGAGTCAAGTAGAATCAAATGAAGTTGATACAGAGTTGATTTCAGAGTATCTAAGTAGGCGTTAAATAAAATACTGAGGCTGAAAGTCGGGTCAAAATGTCGACTCGGGCTCGTCAATTGAATCTTCTTCTCTCATTCGCATTTTCTTCCTTCTCCACTGTACTTGCAGGCGTTTTCATTTGCGTGTAAGTGTCACGGTAAGTGACACAGTGTAAGTGTAAACGGCTATTTTTGGCAACCTCGGGGTCAAAATTCAAGTATACCGTCAAGCCCTCGAAGGACGTTTTTCTATCTGCGACCAGTTACTGCTCGAACGCGCGCGGTCCTAACGGTTAAGCGAGCAACCTTTTTTTTTTCTTTCTCTAAAGATAGACAGGTTCATTAATTCGGTGACATCGTGCAGCACCGAGATTACAAGCGATTAATTTCCCATCCGCTCTCACACGCTGAATGATCTCGCCGGTGAAGCGTGAAGTGTGCGCGCTCTAAATTCAAGTCCCGACATCGTTTACGAATGGGTTCTCGCGGCGATCATCGCGGATAATCAACCCTCGTCGCGAGCAGAACGGTTGTCACCGATATCAGGGTTTTCAACGCATCACCCCTGCGAGAGACCGGGCGACTCGCGTAGGAATCCCGAGCCTGGACATTTTAGCACAATTCGGAACTCGCGATTATGCTATGCGAGTCGAACGCGGCGTATCATTGATTTTACTGGCGGCCGGGATGAATTACCCCCGCGACGACCCCGACGACGGCGGAGAGCTCGCGTGAAAATTTATTACATATTTCCCATTTCGAACAACGATTACCTGGTTGTTGGCGTTATATCGTGTTCAGTGTGCGCGTACAATGTGCACGTACATGTATGTGTGTGTACATATCACGAATGCGTCTGTACGCTATTTTGCAGGGCGATCATATTGTGTTGTTCGATGTAGGAAGAGCCAAAGGGAGGGAGAGAGAGAGAGAGAGAGCCAGAGAGAGAGGCAGACATACAGAAGCACGGAGAAGCTCCATTGATTGGTCGGTGGCACGGCAGAACGTTGCAGCTACCCTGGGGGTATATGAACCCCGATATATACGTTTCTCTCTCCGTCACTTCCTCCCTCGCCTCCCCTCCCCCGCCGTCTCACCCTCGCTCTCGCTCCTCTCTCTCTCTCTCACTCACTTTACCCTCACTACGATTTTACCCCGTGGTAAAACGCAGGCGCGTCACATGGACCCAGGAACGATCAATACGAGGTTCCCCAACTAGACCTAGTCTCTCGTTCTCTCCCTTGCTCTCTGCCTCTCTCTCTCTCTCTCTCTCTCTCTTTCTCTCTCTCTCTCACGCTCTGTCCCGGCTTCTCTCTCTTTCTTTTCCCGTCTCTCAACGTGCACCTTTCAGTCGCACTCCCTCGCCAAATGTAACACTCTGTCTTCGTCCTTCGTAATTCCCATCGCTATACCGACGGCTACTCGTTCACCCTTTGCAAAATCGCGGCCAATCTTTGATATTTCGGCGCTCGCCCGAGAATCCTCCGGCCGAGCGCGTAGAAAACAAGGTCCATTAATCAGCCGCGGCTGACGTTTCCCAGCACTTTTCACTTATTCCCGTTGCGATCTTATCGCGAATGCAAATCGCTACGGTAAATATGCAAGTGCGATGGGAAACGATAAGAGAATGTGTCTCGCGTATTGAACGTGAGTCGTGTAGGAGGGCCAAAAAATTCGCACGTAACGGAAGGAACTCGCGACGTGTTGACCCCGACAACGTGGCGCTTTATCCGCGACCTCGGGAACGAAGTCTCTCACGAGATATTCTTTATCGCAAGACTGGATCGCCGGGAAATCCGATGTTCGTCGAATAGCTCGGCGTCCAAAAGAAAAGCGGTCAGCCAGTTAATCAATCAATCAATCAAACAATTAACCAATCAATCGCCCGCCCCACAGCTATATCATCTACCTCTCCCCTGTCTTTGGCTCACGCACCATTGTGATCGTCGCGGACGGAAGTGTCCCTCTCGAGACATCCTGCTTGTCCTCGACGAGGACCCGCACTGGCGGTCGCTCCATCCCGGACCTGTTTGATCCTTCATGCATCACGACGCTCGCCGTCCTCGTTACTGAATTATCTCCCGATTTTGCCGCTTTTTCTGTCTTTCCATTTTTTTTTCTTTCTTTTCCTGCGGGATCGATAGGGGCCGGATCGAGAGAGGCAGGAAGAGGTAAATATGTGAGCGTGTGTGTACACATCGTGTGTGTTTTGCATGTATATATGCATGTGGGTGGATGTACGTGTGTATATGTGTGTGTGTGTGTGTGTGTTGCGACGTGGTGCTCCCGCGACAGTCGCTTTCTGGTGCCACGCCCAGATAGCGGTCTGGTGCACATACAATATTGCGCCGTGGAAAACGTCAGCTGCTGGACGCAACGTTCGCGGTTATGGCGGCTGATCGACGCGTTTAATGCAACTTCGCCCGGCTAATGAGTCCCCGGCGTTTAGTTCCGCGCTCGGTACTCGCGAACGCGTTCCTTGCACGAAATCACGCAATCGTCTCCGCCTGAACGACTGCGAGATCTCCCTTGCGCGCACCTCGTGTCGTGAGATATCGCAATTCTCAACGGAAATGAAAAAGCGGATCTTAATATCAAAATTGCAAAATAAAAAAAGATTAGAAAAATCGCGGAACGTTGAGAAGAAGTGTCTAAGTGGTGCTCGCAACTATAATCGTACAAAAAAGTAGCTACTGTAAATTATAGCAAAGAAAACTATTTTTCTTTATTAAATCTTAGTCAATTTTTTATTAAATAACGTCGATGATAATAATCTTATGTACGTATTACTGCCACTTGTGTTAGGACGACCAAAGAATATGGTTGCGGCCAAAAATAACTATTACTTTAGTCAGATTAATTTTTATTATTTTTAACCCCAATTATATATTTTTTAGCGAAATGGTGATAATAATAGTCATATAAGGTCATTATCTCCGCTACCATTTCAATATAACTCAATTAAAAAAACATGATTTTCTTCGCTATAATTTGTAATAATTATTTTTCTCTGTGCGCTTTATAGTTACATATATCAAACAGTTCTCTCGCAGTATACGTTCTGCAAAACAAAGTGCTGAGAACTCCTTGAATTAATTATTTCTCATCGCGTGAACGCGTATCTCCTGCTCGATTGTAATCTCTATAGTGTAGTCTCCACGCATTCTCTACTACTTTGTGATCTTGTGTATCTTGTGTATCTCTATAACTTCATCGTGTATCCGTGCGAAGTTTCATCGCGCGTTCATGAGATGGAGGATGCGTAATTAGCAAGCGTCTGGACGATTTTCCACAGAGCGCGAACGCGGAAATGAAGCGGCGGGAGCACCGGGGACCTCTCAGGAGGACGTGAAAGGGTCGGATGGACAACCTAAGTGGTGCCGGAGGCCGCCTCCTCGCTCGAGGAGGTGCCCCGGCACGAGGACGAGAAAGTATACAGACGTAAAGATCGGCGACCGATCCGGCGTGCGATCAAATGAGCGCACGCGGATCGCTAGTAATTAGTCAATAATCATAACGACGGCAATCATAACAACAATAATAACAAGATAATAATAACGATAATGATAAAGTCGTGTGAATCACAGAAACAACGAAAGTAAAGAAACAAATGAACATACCGGTTAACGATGAAAATCAGTGGTTGGAGGATGCCGATATCTGGGCGCAGAACGGAACGACGGTGGGTTTTTTTTTTTTATTAACTTTTATTTCTCTATTCTCTATAGACTCTCTCCGATACTCGTCTGCCCGTTCGTTACGTACTTTCTTTTTTCTCTTTTTTTTATCGCACGAGATTTTCCGATCTTTACGGCGGCGGCGCGTGTATATCTCTCTCTTTCTCTCTTTCTCTATCTCTCTCTCTCGATCTCTCTTTCTCTCTCGTTTCTCTCTCGTTTCTCGTTCCCGTGTCCTTAGAACCAGTTTCCCAGCATTCTGCTCGCGCGCGGCGTATTTTTTCAAGAGGCGATCACGAACATCCGAGGTGACGCGAGCAACGAGGAAGCCGGCTTCCGATTCCGTCGTACGAGAGTCCCGGCATCGAGTTTCACGGCACGTACACTAATCCCTCATCGCTCCACGGTCCTCACGGTTTGTACGAGGATTCGCAGGGTCCCAGACAGACCATACGCGATGCACTTTCGGATTAATGCGCGCGTATATCTCGCAACGGAAGATAAACAAATCTCGCGCGCGGCGAACACGCCCAGTAGTCTCTCTCTCTCTCTCTCTCTCTCACTCCCACCCCCGACACAGGACCCTCTCCTATCTGTCTCTCTTTCTCGCTCGCCCGCTCGATCACGCTCTCCCTCCCTTTCTTTCTCTCTTTCTCTGTCTCTTTTGCCGGATGCCTCTTCTGCCGATTAAAGGATCTTCCAGCTGACGATCTCTCGTTCCTCGCGCTCTCTCTCTCTCTCTCTCTCTCTCTCTCTCTCTCTCTCTCTCTCTCTCTCTTTCTCGTTAACGCGCGCTTAACTCTCTCGCGGTTTCTCTCGCTGCCGCGGTACAACGTGAGAAAATCGCGCACCGTCTTCCGCGTTGATCCGTTCGCGAGTCCTCGAGTGATCGACGCGACGCGACTGTCGGAAGGGATCGTGCGACGGGGCGATCGTGAAGTAGCTTCTCGCGGGGTGACGGGGTCGATGGAGAACGGGACAGGGGCACGAACAAAATCATAAGACAGGGAAGAACGCGGCAGTCGCTCCTCTGCTCTGTATCTTCGACCGATTTCACCCCGGCCAACTGATCTCTCGGCGCAGGCGACGTTCCCGTGAGAACTCGTCTCTTTCGTTTCTCTCTTGGCGCGATTTTGCTCCGCTGGCGATGGCGGTGTGACGACGGCGACGACGACGACGACGACGACAACGACGACAGCGGCGACGGCGACGACGGCGGCGTCACTCGATCGACACGTGGATGGGACAAAGCAGTGGGACAACCGAATGTTACAGAACGACGACGGCGACGACGGCGGCGACTTGTACGACGACGACGACGACGACGGCGACGACAACGAACGATACCGAACCGAATGTAGTCTTTCGTTTCTTGCCGAATTGAAGGGTTAGAAATCAGGAGATATGCAAGCAAATAGTAAGAATGTTGCGGGTATAACGGTGTCTACAACGCAATGCCTTTATGTGGTGCGGTAACTAAACTGACAGGGCCGAGCCTTGACGCCGATGGCTGCACCCTCCAGGCATTCGCCGACGCGCACCCCCACCGTCTTCGCGACCTCCGTCGGGGGTGGGAGGCGAAGAATCGCGAGAAAGCTCGGAAAGCCGACGGAACTCGGCGATGCCGATGTACGCAGACGCCGTTCACGGAGCACGGCGTTGGTTTTACGGGCTGCAGAGGAGAACGAGAGCGGGAGAGGTCGTGGGATGCGAAAGCGGAAGAGATCCGCGAGGGTGGCGGCGGCGGCGGCGGAGGAGAAGAATCGCCGTCGAGATAGGAGGTCGCGCAAGCGTGATCGTGGCTTGCACCCTCCGCGAATCGCTTGGGGGTTGGCTGCCTGGTTGCTTGGCTGGCTGGCTGGCTGGCTGGTTGGTCGGTCGGTCGGTCGGTGGTCCTGTGCGTTGCTCCGATGCACATATTTCCAAACACCGAGCGCACATCGCGGCGCAGCCATGAGGCATTTTTTTTCCAGTCATTATGCAAGCGCGGGAGACGTGGCCGTGGTGATAAATGACACCGGCGGGGATTATTGATTGGGACGATCCCGCCGGGTTAACGGGGAACCTCCTCTCGCCCCGGTCATCGCACAAATTACTGCGGTTCGCGCGGGAAGCAATAAACGTTCCCGTTTCGACACCGACGGATTTCGCTTCGGGAGACAAAAGAGAAAGAGAGAAAGAGAGAAAAAGAGACGGAGAAGGAAGAGACTGTACAGAATCGCGGCACGGCCGCGGATCGATACAGACCTGGTGACATTTTATAAAATTAGGGAACTCAATAATAGCCCGTGGGTCCTCGCAGAGGCTGATTCCTCGATTCCTCGGTAATGCCGCGCCGCGAATTAATGTTTCACGTAATTGATATATCTCACCAGACGGCCACGTCCGGGCTGCCAAAGCAGAAGCACGACGAATATGGACGATCTATAATTATAAATAATCCGAGCAACGCGGCCGCGGTTATTTACGGACCGATCGATATTTACGGGGAGAGAGAAGGGGGAGGAGGAAAAAGAAAATACGCGCGCGACGCACGGTGGAAGATTTTAAGATATTCTCCTGACCAATATTCTAAATCGTGTTTCAAATTAAAACAAAGTAGTCTGTCGGTTGTATGTCAGGTTCTGACACAAAATTCTATGACATCATTAAGTACATTCGTCATTGTTACTACTCGCGGAAACTTGATATGTACGAATCAGAAGAAATCAAAAACTCCTTCATAACATTTTCTGCATTTTCGTTGCACAAACCTTCCTTGTATTAACCCTCTACTGCCCAGATTAATTTCTTATGTTCAAAATATTTTTTATGTACGCCAAAAGATGTTTGAAACTAAACTGTACTCAACACACACATATAAGGTTCTACCTTTCTAATTTTTTACAGAAAGCGTTACAGAACACTACTTCGTCAAAATCTACCACGTTCTTAGTTGAAGTATCGTTGAGGAATACTGTAGGTTGGTTGTTAATACTGGTTGCTTGGCAACCGATATATCAGGTGGAGATCAATAAATTAGGTAGAGATACAATCAATATATTGGATCGCTCAGCATTGCGCATACGAAATTCGAATTTTGGAGAGCCAAGTTTCGCTTAGATTCTCACACTGTACGATGTTAGGATCCCGTCGCTTTTATGGGCAGACGATATTTCGCTTGTCTTCTCCGACATCCGACGCGAAAGGAGAGAGAGGAGCGAGGCCGAGACGACGGGCCGGAGAATGACCGAGGGAGAAGGCAAAGGGGGTTCACCAAGGGGATAGTGAAATTTTGCAGGCGCAGGCGCTGGTAGCCGCGAGAGCGGCTGATTTGGAAAGATGAGAGGAGACGCAGAAAAAATGCGGAGAAAAATGCAAGGGGGTAGAAACGAGGGGCACGTCGGCCGAGGGGTCGCTAAGACAATGGTTGCCAACTTCCAAACACCGTAGCCGTCGGCGGTACGGCGGGATTAAAAAGGGGGATAAAAAAGGGGCGCGCACCCGAGGCAGGGGTGAAGCGAACAAACCCCTGGAGTGCGTTCGGCTCTCGAGGCTCTCCGACCGAACTTTTTCCTTCTGTTTTCTTTTCCCCAAACGCGAACCGGTTCCCATCGGACGGCCGAACATCCCGCTTCATCGTGTCGCGCCCTGACCGGCGATCTTCGCAGAAAGGCGGCATGATTAATGTCGCGGACACACATGAACTTTTCCCAACAACTGTACATCGCCTGGATTAACGAGGGGGTGCAAGAGAAAAGGGGTAGAGAGGCAGACGGACGGACGGATGGATGGACGGACGGGGGGCGGTGAGGGTGCCGTTGCAAATACGCACGCGCCAAATACAGAATGCAAAGTGGAGAAGGGGTTGACAGCGAGAGGAGAAAGAGAGAAAAGTGGTGATGAGGAGGAAAGGGGGTGCGAGTGAGCGAGCGAGCGAGCGAGAGAGAGAGAGAGAGAGAGATAGAGGGGGTGGGAAGAGGAGAAGATAGCGAGAGAGAGGGTTGGTGAAGGACCGAGCGGCGCAAGCGCTGCGAGAGGGTGGAAAAGCTCGCCGGGAGTGCCCGTTCCCCAGGCAAATGGCTTTTCGGTAACGCGAACGTGGCCAAATTTCATCATGCGACGCGTCTCGTATTCCCTTTGACGAGAGATGAGACTGCATCCCCCAGAATCTCATTGCGCGCTCGCGGCAACGGTAGTAATCAATTTCGCACGGCGAGTATTCTCGTCGTTCTCGGATACTCATTTTGCATGCTCATCATTAACGCATGATCAACGCAGTTGATTGCCACTGTGCGCCGTCTCAGAGTCATGCGGAAATTTCCCAAGATTCTCCCGGACGCAGCACAGATTAGAGTGTCCAAATTTTCCCCAAAATATTGCACTGAGAAAAAACGTTTAGTACTTATAACTATGGAGCCAAAAATAATTATAACAGGTTCTAGTTAGGTAGACTATTTTTTTCAGTGTGGTTATTCCACTACGATACCAATTGAGAATCTCATTCTTGTCCCAAGCATAGGTTTCCTGCCGGGGGCATCGATCATGAATCTTTTTGCGTGAACTCAATTTTACTCATCAGTCATGTAAATTATTTTTTCGAGTGAATAATTTTGCAGTACTTGGAGACGATCGTGAATTTCTTCCTCCTATGTAAACTTGTGAAAGGTGAACATTCTCATATATTTTAAAAGATTAGATTTCTCACTTTTACGAGCTTACGCTAGAAAAAAGGATTTATGTAATTAGCCCTTAGAATCGAAACATAAATACTGCCGAGGTAAAACAAAAAGTCACGATGATGTCAAAATGATGAGAAAATGATTAAAAAATTCACTTTTCAATCACGATTCGATCATTTTATCGTATTCGTATCGGTTTCTATTCGCGCTTTTTTTAGTCGGTATATTATTATGATATCGTCGTATTATGATATTAGTCATAATGTCGGTATATTATTATGATATCAAACAAGGAATCTTATTCTTACATACCAATTATTATGTCTTAGAATAAAATGTTACAAAATAAAATATTCTCAAAACATTTTGAGCGTACTTGACTGAATAATGGAATTATTTGGCAAATTCATGTTTTATTCAATTCTAACTTAAAATGAAGACTACAAAAATTATTGGCGGAACTTCGGGTTTCCTCGCTCAGAATCGCATATTTGGAACATTACACTTCTAATCAGAACCCAGAATTATTTAGGGAAATCTTGGATCCCAAGAAATTTTCTGCGCGGCTCCCAGTACGTTTGGCTGCGTCGCACTTCGCGAACGACTATCCGAGTAAAATGTATCGCAGTTGCGCGCGATATGGTCCTGTAATTCCCCCTGTTCCATTCCGTTTGTATCAGCAGCTATTTTACATTCTCTCTGATACAGGGCGATACAGCGGGCGTGTAAAATTTGCACGAACGCGCCGCGTATGAGAAGAGTCCGTCGCGGAAGGAGAATTATCTCGCAACTGCGATCTCATCTATGATCGGAGGCCATGGACAATGAGTTGGCACTAAAATACAACGTCTATCGATCGTTACTTCCTGCTCCTTCGTTCCTGTCTCTTTTTTTCTCTTTTTTATCAACACACGTGCGTGGGTCTGTTTGTCTGTCGGGACGATCGCGACGTGGGGTTAACGAGTGGCGCGTGTAACGAACGATTCCTTAATGAGTCACGTCGTAGATGTGAGCGAGGATCGATAGACATCGGACGCGATGATAAATAATTGGACTGGTTCGTGCCGCCTTGTACATTTCGGTATTGCGAGATATACAAGAGATAGGCGAGCGTCGGAGCAGAGAAGTCGTGGCGGCGGACAAAGGGAGAGGGTCACGGGGAAAGGGGAGAGAGAGAGAGAGAGAGAGAGACCAGGGGTGTAATCTAATGGTAAATAGCACGTATGCATATAAGGGTCAGTCGAAGTGCGTCAGTGGCGTAGGAGAATGAATTGCGCGACGATACCGCTAATCATGCGCCCTGGACGCGCAATTTCGCATGCGGTTTCGCAATCGTTGCGGTATACACCACACAATACATATTACACGAAATATGGTGTTTCCAAGGAGCGGATCTTATGGACTGTATTGCAATACACGCGTTGCCTTTTGAGTATCCTCAGAATATTTCGAACATATGGACAACGGTGTGACGTGGGAAGTAAAACGACGATATTCCTGTGCGGTTATAGCCATATAACGACATATTTTCTTACGCCCGTGGCATAAAATAACTCTCCTCTCGACCAAGTCTTGACATGTTTACGAACAGCGGCTGAGAATAATCAACGTATCGATCGCGCGAGCACAGCAAAGAAGCTCCCTCCCTCTCTTTCCCGCCGCTTGTGCCGCGAGCGCTTTATTTACGTCTGCTTTGCAATTATAATCATCTCGAGAAACGGTCCGCGACACGACGTGTGCGTCGCCGCGAGTTCGCGATCGCGAGGAACGGGCGTAGTCGAAAAATAGCGCTCGAGCGAGATCCGGGTGGCGGTGCACTTCCTCGTGAGACTCGCCGATCGCCGGCGATCGATCGAACGGCAGGGTCGCGCCCACCCCCGGCCGCGGCCACCACCGCCGCCGCCGCCGTCGTCGCCGCCGCGTCTCAATCGCCAAAGGAGTCTAGACACCTTCCCGAGAAGGTCGCATAAATTCCGGGAGGACGGCGCGACGGATAATTTACGGGCTCGCTCGCGTCCTCTTTGTGCTTCCGAGTGTCCTGGGAGAAACGGCGCGCCCATTTCATCTCTCTACCAACCAACCGGCGGTTCCTCCTTCCTACGCCACTGGGAGGGTAGATCGAGGGGTGCCAGCGTCGGACGGGGCCGCCGGCCGACGGTGGAGGCAGAGAGGGGGGAGAGAGACAAGGGGGGGGTCTTTCGGATATCGATCTCCCTCGTTCTCTCCCAGTCATTCACTCTCTCTCCGTGCAGTTCCACATCCCTCCCGCCGCCCTGTTTCGCGCACCCCGTAGCCTCGGAGCGAGTGGAAGGGGCGCACGATGTGAGGGGGCGCCGAAGGGGGCTTTACCCGGAGGTCCCAGCCAAAGCCCGGGGGAGGAGGACGTTCACCAGGGAACGCGCCATCACCAACCACCACCACCACCAGCACCATCGCCGCCATCACCATCACCACCACTAACCGACATCCAGAAAAGTGTTCTCCGAGAAATTGGTTTACCGGATCTTGCAGTCTCGTATTCGCGCGAAATTGCTCCGCCACCTCCGTCGCTTGCCTCCCCTTTCCCCTTCTTATTTCCTACGTCCTTGCATTGCATCTAATTTGCACGCTTTACCTTCGAAAATTCGTTATGAAACGTCGGAGCCTCCTTCGCGGTTGTCCGTGTTCGTGAAGGAAAGGAGATTGAAATAAGGTAAGAGGAGATTATAAAAGAGAGAGAAAAAGAAAAAGGAAGAGAGAGAGAGAAAGAGAAAGGGAGTGATTTCGTTCGTAGATCGACGAGCGTTTCGCGGCGGGTTTTGAGAGATTAACAATTTACGTGCGAATAGATCTCACGTGATCGTATCTGGCTGAACGCCACATGTCTCGCAAATCGCGCGCCCCGCAAAAAAAAGTCGCACGTGAACCTTCCTCTCGCGAACGCGCCGACATCGACTGATCTCGCCGACGTTTCACGCGGTAGGCGCTAATTGTGTGAGATACCTCGCTGTCATTAGTGATCATTCTGCTGCGAGCGGGGACCCGCGAATACTCATTTCCACCCCCGACAAAATGATCCGATACAATCCTCCGCGCTCACCCTCAAACTTATACAAAGTGCCCGCGATAAATTATCATTACTCGCGCGATCATTCCACGGTCTCTGTTAAAACTCGAGGGCCCGGTAATCCCCGACTGAACAGTGACGCCATACGTCTCAATCTACTTTATTACGCTGAGCCGAAATTTGTCGCGCCAAGCGAGCGAGCGAGCGAGCGTTCTCATCCTCGTTCGCCAAATTATTCGCGGAAATACCCCGTCGCCGCAGTGCCAACGAGAGCGCCATTATTCTCCACCCTCGCGTCTAACCACCCCTTCCACGCGTTTCCCATCCCATATCATCATCTCCCGCTGGAACCGGGAGCCCGCTCACCGATAGGTGTGCTCGCACACCTTACACCAGTGTTGCTGCACACGCGTCGAACGGGCTGTGCATAAATGCCCGGGCATGAGAGGCTGCACGCGTGCCGAGCTGAAGCACGAAGGTGGAGAGCTCCGCCGGTGTGCCTTTGTGGCGATCGAATTTCATGCGCGCGAATTACGTGTCCACCCATCCACCCATCCAGCCCCTGGCTCGCTGTCCAAACTCACCCCCGTCCGGGGGTGTTACAAGCTCGACCGGCCGTGAGAGAGAACGGACGATCCATAAAGCTACGTGAGATCGGAAGTAACAAGGACTGGCTTGTAATTAGTGTCTGATCCGATCGCCGCGTAAAATCGTTCTAATCTTCATCAGCGTTAAGCAGCGCCACGATCGATCTCGCGAGGGCTACGCCGTCGAGGAGACGCGGAAGAGCGATCGTCCCTGATGCCGTGAATCTACCGCCGTCACTGGAGTGGGTGCAACGACTGTTTTTGCAACGGTGGCTTAACAAAACAATAACACAGTCGAAAAGATCGCCTCTGTAAATGTGCGAATCCGTTATGTTATCAATCCGCTTGCGACAACAGTTCCGTTTTTAGAGACTTTAGAGATTTTAGGTAAAATATAAAAAACATTAAAAAAGATGATTTTTATAAACAAATACATCAATAAAAAATATATTCCATAAATACATTTGGTATGCGTAGTAAAATAAATAAAAACAAAAATAATGAAACACTATAATGCATCGTGAGATAAATCATTTTTCTTTTTTAGGTCACCCAAAAAATATAATCTTATCCTGAGCGGAATTTTTTTATATATAACCTAAAGAAGAAAAGCATAATATGTTTGAAATATTTTCCGTTTAGTTTTAGAAGTAATCTCTTAAGAAAATTTGCATATTTTTTAGAGGATTTTGGATTTAGAGAATATTTTTTCCAAGAAGAAAATATCTGAACACCGAAAAAACTCTAATCAAAATGTAATATTTCCTGTACATTCTGAATAAAAACTTTGACCAAAAGAATATTTCTCTTCTATAAAATATTTTCCTAATAAATAGGATATTTTCTTTCTGATTTTAGAGAATCCTCTTTTTATAAACAAATACATCAATAAAAAATATATTCCATAAATACATTTGGTATGCGTAGTAAAATAAATAAAAACAAAAATAATGAAACACTATAATGCATCGTGAGATAAATCATTTTTCTTTTTTAGGTGTATCACACCTAAAAAATATAATCTTATCCTGAGCGGAATTTTTTTATATATAACCTAAAGAAGAAAAGCATAATATATTTGAAATATTTTCCGTTTAGTTTTAGAAGTAATCTCTTAAGAAAATTTGCATATTTTTTAGGGGATTTTGGATTTAGAGAATATTTTTTCCAAGAAGAAAATATCTTAACACCGAAAAAACTCTAGTCGAAATGTAATATTTCCTGTACATTCTGAACAAAAACTTTGACCAAAAGAATATTTCTCTTCTATAAAATATTTTCCTAATAAATAGGATATTTTCTTTTTGATTTTAGAGAATCCTCTTAAGAGGATTTTCGATGTTAGAATATTTCCCAAAAGGAAAATATCCTAATACCCAAAAAAATATCTCAATTGCTAGTGTTATTTTTCCTGTACTCCCAAATTCTAAGAAAGAATATTCCTCTCCTAGGAATAATACTGCTCTTAGAATATTTCTCCTCGAATTTAGGTTTTAGAAGAATTCTCTCGATGGCGTATAGAGGATTTCGCCAAGGATAAGATTATATATTTTCGAGTGCGGCAAAGAGAGAGTCTCACGGGCCGCGGGTTTATGATGCGACACGAGGGCAGCCTCGTCAGCCCGGGTCGTCCTCAGTGATTTTTACTTTTTCGTTCGCCGTGCAAAAGCACGTCGCGGTACAAGATAAGCCGCGCTCGCAGCGAGGTATATATCGATTCAACGGAACCAAGGAAACCAGGATAGGCTGACTCGACCGACGGTGTCGCGCAGTCAACGTAGCCGCGGCCGTTGTGGTCCGAGTGAAGTCCTGCGGATTGAAGTCCAGCCGAGCACCTCGACATGTCCGAAGACACCGGTACGTACGTGTGTGCTCGCGAATACTCGTGCTCGCCGTCGTTATCGTCGCCGTCAGAGTCTTCGAGCCGAACCGGCCCGTACCGGCGTTCGTGACTGCACGCGCTATCAGCGATCTGTCCGCGCGATCACGCGGGACGCGTCTACACTTCCCCGATGGATCTCGCCCGCGCGATCCGCAAGATCGATCGGATTTATACACCGTCGAGGGGTCACGCGAGGATCATCACGCGCTCGCCGATTGCACCTTGACATTTTGCCCATCTCTTTGCGAAACTCTCTCGGCCCCGGCAAGAACGACGTCACGTGGAGGCGAGACCTCCACACGCTTGTCAATCAGCGGGCCGCTTGAAATCGCTGCCGGGAGACGCGTTAATTGGCGCGTCCATTTTTCGGCTTGCACGCGAGAACACGAGCGGCCGAAAGTTTCCCTCGAAAGTCTCATCAGTCAATCGGACACGCCTCGTCAAGTGCACGTACAGGGTGTTGCATTAATATTTTGGTCAATATGACGACTTGGGTTGCTTATTCACTTCGCTGGTAGGTGCGCGTGCCCGAACGCAGGCCTCTGTATATCCCGAAGGACCGTGTATGCGCAAGAAAAAGACACAAGAAAACAGAAATTCTTTCTTTCCTGCTACAGAAAACGCATAAAATGCCACTTGTAGGTTCTGAGGAGGACCTCTCCGCTCCGGGAGATGCTCTGTTCGTTTTCAATTTCGTGACGCCGTTTGCTCAATGTAAACATACCAGAACGCGGCGATTGTTCACTCGGGCGAATTAAAGAAACATTCGATTCTTCCCGAGAGAATGTCGCATCGCGGTCGGCCGAAAATAGTTCGTAGTTCACGCGAATAATTCAGAAAAGAGGAGCGATCTTATCATGTTACAGACATTGAATCGACATTCCGCGGAATTTCACAGGTGAGATAATATTCAATTATCAAGATTTCCTTGTTTAATTCCTTATATCTTCGAAAAATTATTTATAAGATAGATTCTATTTATAAGCTAATCAGAGAGAGAGAGAGAGAGAGAGAGAGAGAGAGAGGAATATCATTGCGAAAATTTAAATTCTATCTAATTTGTCGTTTCTTTAAAGAAATCTTAGTTTTCAATGAATAGTTTTCAATTACAGACACGTATTTATGCACACACAGGAAAATATATGCTGCGTTCAAGAACATATTACCTGTTTCAAGTATTTCATTAGTTGTATCTCTGCATATATTAGTTGTGTATCGGTAAATTTATCATAAAAGTTCATCCTGATTCATTCAAAATGCATTCTGAATTCTAATGAATTTGGCACTCAATCAATAATATGAAATTGCAAGAAAAGTCCGGTTCACTCAGAGTTGCACCAATTTTTTCTTCAGTAAAATTTCACATTCTTGTAAAGAAAATAAATTCTTCTTTCGAGCGCATAACAATGAGTCTTACCGAGATTGGCGATGAGTGTATTTCGAGGCTACTGAAATAAAAATATTCCTCGTCGAAGGGGTGACCGATATTCAAAACAAGAAAAGTAAACTGAATAATCGTTTTTCTCAGTAGCGGAAGGATAATTTCCTCTGTGCGTCTCAATTAACATGAAGTTCCTGTTATCCGCAAAAGATCTTCACAGTCCACTGCGCGACATGGAATGTCACTTGGAGAATTAGAAAGTTCACTTGAAGAATTACGGTTCACTTGCGCTAATGGCCGATTGCACACGCGGGGTGAGCCTATAAATTACTTTGAAGCAACGAAATGTAACGAACGACTTGGCTGGCCCGAACGTCGTACGTGGCGCTACGCGAGACATTCAATGGATATATAAAGTGCTGAACATTTCACGATGAGACACAGCGTGCGTATGTGTGTGTAGTCCCTTTTATTTCCGTGTTCTGAATCATTGACGAGCCCGCCGTATGTGTCTTGACGCAAACTCGGTATAGCCACCCCTCCAACCTACCTGTCCCCCCGGAGCGGCTATAGCACCATAAGTCATCAGGTGCGACATTTGCGACGTCGAGCGCCGCGCGCGCTATGATAGAAATAGATATCGAGTGATCTCGATTTAGATCAACGATAACGATTGGCGCCGGCGAACGGACTGTGTCTCTACGACAAAGGACGCGAAGGGGTGGCCGAAGAAATTCCGTCCTATATTTATGAATCGAGCCGAAACGACTGGTAAAGCCGTGGCCCTTCGTCGTCTACACGTTTCCTCGTGGCTCCCTTGCTCGCACGAAAACACGATTCGAAAGCTCTTTCTCTCCCCCTCCTGAGCTCGCGTCGTAAAAGTATCACTCGTAGCACGTCAATATCTGGTCAATTCATCCGCTCAACGGAAGAGCCCGTTCAACGAAATGTCGCGTACGAAGTGTGCGCGTGTAATCGCCGTTAACGATCTTCCCATCCCGGAATATCGTATCTTTTATCTGCGGTTAATCGACCTCCGAGAGCAAAACGACACAGGGCGCTATTCACTCCATCCCCCAGTTACGAACTTCATACAAACCCGTAAAACTATCGCGTCTCCCGTCCCAGGCACCCGGTGTTATCACCCCCGGCTCATCCCCAATCTCAGCATCTGCTAATCGAATCTATCAGAAAGTCGTGCCGACCGCCGATTTCTCACTTCCGCCCCCGCGAATCTCGTGACCGCAAACGAGTTCCTGGTTAGACGTACATGTGTGTATGAGTGGGTGGGTGCGAGGGGAGAAACTCGCGGCTGTCGAAAGATATCTCACGTACAAAATCGTCGGCGCCTGGCAGCCACGCGAGAGAGTTAGGCCCCGATTAGCGATCCGATTCCTATTTCTCGCACGGAATCGCTCGCGCCCGCGAGAAATCACGAAATCACCCCGCTACCCCCGGAGGTGGAGGGCGAACGTGCACGAGAACGCGCGGGGAACGGCGTGCCTCTCTTATCACGTAGGCGGTGTTAACACCTACTGCTATGGGTAGAGGTAGGTGTTGGATACCCGGGGTATCACGGTGCCGTCAGTTCCGCGTCGTATCTTCCGCCCGATAGGTCACACAGTCGTCGTCGTCGTCGTCGTCGTTTGCTCTATGGTCGTTGTCGTTGATCGCTCGCGAGACCCCGGCCGTGCCGTTTCGAGTCATTTGAAGAGAGAGTCATGGCCTTCTCGGGCGAGGGACGCGATCCCCTGGAGCACACGAGTCTTTACCAGCGCGCTGGTCAGACACTCTTTCTGTTTTGCGCGCGTTCGTAAGAAAGAGGGGAGGAAAGGAAAGAATTCGCGGAGGGAAGTTTTCATTACTCAAAACCCCCGTTCCTAGGCTTGTGTCGACAATTGTCATCTGGAACTTGCCTCATACGAGACACTCGGGTCTCTATTCGGAGTTAGATGATAGTTTCTCAGTTGAATCGCGACTCCAGATGTAATTGGTCTGTTCTTTGTAGCCGCACTGCTGAACTAGCGCAAGTTAGAGTGAGATAAGTATATACAGGGAGTTGAAAAAAAAGGGTCACATATTTTGATAGCAGGTAGTATTGATCAAAACAAGAAGAAAAGTTCTAATTAACATGGGTCCTAAGACTAATATCTTCTAAGATACAAGCTATTTTAATATGAAATGTAATCATTTATCTTTCATAAAAAAACTGAAGTAAAGAAACTGAATGTATGATAACAAAATAAAAACTCTTTTTTTACAAAAGCAAAAAATTTTAATGCTGACTCAGCATTAGAGGAGGTGATTGCCATTCACCCCTTTTGCTATTTGAGCTCTTTGTCATTTTCTTATTAGTCGTGTCATCTTTAGAATGTAATGAACAAAGGAGTAGGGGAGAGTGGGATACAATGGGGATATCTGACCAGCCTGGTGTATTTGAAAGAGTGCGTGATTCTCTAAGACGTAGGGCTGAAACATACGTGAGAGTGAATGGCAATTACAAAGAGCACCTCCTCTAATGCTGAGTCAGCATTAAAATTTTTTGTTTTTTGTAAAAAAAAAGTTTTTATTTTGTTATCATACATTCAGTTTCTTTACTTCAGTTTTTTTAAGGAAGATAAATGATTACATTTCATATTAAAATAAAAATTGTTTCTTTATTTCCCTTTGTTAATTTTTTATTTTTTAAGGCATCTAGAAAAAAGATATCCCCATTGTATCCCACTCTCCCCTACTCCTTTGTTCATTACATTCTAAAGATGACACGACTAATAAGAAAATGACAAAGAGCTCAAATAACAAAATAGCTTGTATCTTAGAAGATATTAGTCTTAGGACCCATGTTAATTAAACCTTTTCTTCTTGTTTTGATCAATACTACCTGCTGTCAAAATATGTGACCTTTTTTTCCAATACCCTGTATATATTTTTCTTACTCTAACTTACCGCACCAATTCAGCGGTGCAAAGAACGGACTTACGTCACGTGTGTTATATAATTCAACTGAGAAATTTGGAACTAATCTGAGAATTTTTAGATCTAATTTAAATATCTGAAAATCTGAAACAAACAAACGAAACAAACTTCAAGTAACGACTATTAATATAGACCCAAGATTCGTATTAATAGTTGACACCTGCGGCTATCTCGTGCGAGATGTGAGAAATGAATATTTTTCAGATTCAGATCTATGTTTTCAGTTGTGTTATAATACGTGTGACACCCAGCAAACAAGATGACGTCTCTAACGTCAATAATACGTCATTAAGACGTCATTTGACGTCATCTTGTTTGCTGGGCACTGGGATCTGTAATCGCGCGATTCAACTGAAAAACTCTCATCTAACGCTCAAATTTGAGTATCTCACTTGGAAGACAAGTTTCACTATTAATAACGGCTCCTGCAACCTCGATCGTCGTTCATGGCGAGAATTTTCGGATTATATTCATCTCCCTATTGTAATTGCACAATCGGCGCACTGTTTTGCAGAGAGCGAGGACAGCGATGCCGAGGGTGGTTTGGGCAACGTGAACAAGATGGTGATGCGACCACCGGGCCACAGTGGCAAAGCCAAGAAGGGTCACATCTGCTTCGACGCGACCTTCGAGACCGGCAATCTCGGAAGGGTGGACCTGATCTCTGAGTTCGAGTACGATCTCTTCATCAGGCCCGACACCTGCGGCCCCCGGCTGCGCATGTGGTTCAACTTCACCGTGGACAACGTGAAGGCGGATCAGCGGGTGATCTTCAACATCGTGAACATCTCGAAGAGCGCGAATCTCTTCCGGCAGGGGATGACGCCGCTGGTGAAGAGCAGCAGCAGGCCGAAGTGGCAGCGGATACCGCGAGAGCAGGTAAGATTTGTTTTCGGATTAATTAAAGCTTTGATCTTCACACCTTTTAATTGAAGAACTTACAAGTAAACCTACCCCAAAGTTACACTTCGATTCCTTTCTAATTTGGCACAAATGTAGAAGTACAAAAAATATTTAGGTCATATTAATGGCACATAAGTAGCTAGCACGGATGTCTTAGTGCTATTAAATACTAATATAACTTTAATATTAATATGATTGTGGGAGGATAAAAATTACTGTCGAAGCCTCGGTGGCCAAATGAAAAGGCGTCCCGCCCGGAAAGTGAGGAGGTTTCAGGTTCGAGTCCCGGCGAAGGCAGTTTTTTCGCAACATATATAATAAAAAGGAATCTATTTGAGTCTTCGGTTTAATGGGGGTTTGGGATTTTAATTAAAATATATATTTAAAATTGGGACTCAAGGATCGGTCTAGGAATGGAAGGTTGATTCTCCGCGTACGGTAATCGAAGAGAAAATTTCGATACGTGCGTTTGACATACTGGACATTTTTATCCTCCCACAATCATATTAACATTAAAGTTATATTAGTATTTAATAGCACTAAGACATCCGTGATAGCTCCTTATGTGCCATTAATATTTCACTATTAGTTAACTCTATTCAAGGAGCGTTCTATTATTTCGGTTTATATTTAGGTTATATTTTTTCACTTTGGTCCACTTTGAGTTTCACGGACAGTTTATAGCTTTTTAATGTTCTCACTCTTATCATCAACAAGTGCAACAAAAATGCATAAGAAATAAAATTGAATACAAGATATAGTTAAATAATTTTAACAAAATCGACATAGCTGAGACACGAACTATTCTAAATGTCTTTAGCCGAGATTCCAACCGGAAATATTTTAAATTTGTGTTGAATTAGTCAAAAATGACTCGAATCTCGGACAAACCGAGAGAGAAATCCGGCAATTTTAATTAAAATTTTAACAAAATCGACATAGCTGAGACACGAACTATTCTAAATGTCTTTAGCCGAGATTCCAACCGGAAATATTTTAAATTTGTGTTGAATTAGTCAAAAATGACTCGAATCTCGGACAAACCGAGAGAGAAATCCGGCAATTTTAATTAAAATTTTAACAAAATCGGCATAGTTGAAACATGAACCACTCTAAATTTCTTTAGCCGAAATTCCAACAGAAATACTTCAAATCTGTGCTAAATTAGTAAAAAATGGTTCGAATCTTGGCCAAATTATTTGTATAAATGATTTTTTCAACTTTTTACATGTTTTGTTTAAACATTTTATTATTTACACAAATAATTTTATACATTTGACTTCATATTCATAATCAGCAAACCAAAAATGCCTATATCTTGTATTCAATTTTATTTCTTACACATTTTTGCTTGTTGATCATAGGAGTGAGAACATTAAAACTACTAAACTGCCTGTAAAACTCAAAGTGGGCCAAAGTGAAAAAATATGACCTAAATATTTTTTGCTTCTATATTTGTGCCAAATTAGAAAGAAATCGAAGTGTACCTTTTGGATAGGATTACTCGTTAGAAGTCTCGACTGAGCGCGTACCCGCGAAATAAATTCGCGATTTTGAGGGTTGTGGGAGAAGGTCGATGCGATTTCTCGTATCCTGATGAAAACCTTTGCAGTGCCGTACGGCGTAATTGCAGAAGTGTCGATTTTAATAAGCCGTCTCGTCGATTATGCAAATCAAATCTCTAGATTCATCGCGCGACTAACACAGGAACGCCGCGATATTTACATCAGCGATATCGACGACTGAAATCTCGAGAAACTGTGTCGGAACGCGAATTTCCGATATTCAATTAATCCATCGGCTATTACCGGCGGCCTTCTAAATTAGAATTATCGACGCCGCAAATCACGACTGACGTCGCTAACTAGACGGCCGATCGTCGTCGTGCATTCTCACAGATATTATCGAGTACTGCGTTATTCTTATCAAAATATATTATTATATAGTTTGCGCGCGATCTTAAAGTGTTATCATTGCAAATTCTCTTTTGAGGTTAAAATGTCGACCGCGTTTCGCTCGCTTCATTAAGGTTTCCAGAATATGTATATTTTTCTATTTGAAAAATGTTTTATAAAATATTTTATATCTTATTTGAAACATGTTTTATATGTAATATTTTATATTAGTGCATGTAAGTAAATACGTTATTAAAGTACGTATCGAATAAATGTTTCTCATTTCCTAGATATATTTTTCCTAGTGTATATATATTCTCTACTCTTTAAATTTCTTGGAGTGAAAATACTGCCACTCTTGCAATAAGAGTGAAATATTCACTCCAGTCGAGTGAAACAGTCACTCCTGTGGCAGTATTTACTCTTCATAGGAGCGAATGTTTCACTCGATTGGAGTGAATATTTCACTCTTACTGCAAGAGTGGCAGTATTTTCACTCCAAGAAATTTAGAGAGTGTGTTGGACATTTAAATATTCGCATTTAAAGACCAAAACGCACACAATATTCCGAATTAGGTGTACGTGTCCTAAAATTTATACTTTTTAACTTAACACTCGTTAAAAAAAAACACAATCTACTCCCGCTTTCAGGTGTTCTACTACAGATCCGCGCAACACCAGAATCATTATGTGCTGAGCTTCGCGTTCGCGTTCGACCGCGAGGATGACGTATATCAGTTCGCCCTGACTTATCCGTATTCGTACACCCGCTACTTGGGACACCTGGACAATCTGTGCGGCAGACCGCTGTATACGAAGCGGGAAACGCTGGCTGAGTCGATTCAGAAGAGGAGTGTAGAGCTCGTAACTATAACCTCCGACCTCGAAGACACGGAGCGACCTAGAAAAGTGGTCGTTGTCCTCGCTAGAGTTCACCCGGGCGAGTCGCCGTCTTCCTTCGTGTGTCAGGGCTTGATGGATTTCTTGGTCAGCGCGCATCCTATAGCTCAGGTGCTCCGGGAATACGTGATCTTTAAGATAGTGCCGATGCTGAATCCGGACGGCGTCTTTCTCGGAAATTACAGGTGAGAGTGTCCCTGTCTGTCTCTATAACTAATTTAAACTAGCTGTCGCCAACAGTGAGACCAATTTAAAAGCCAGAAGGGACCGTGGCGTTTTCGAATTCCGTTTTGGCTTTGAGACGGTTAATACTTCGGTGATGAATTGTCTTCCCTCTAGCTGACGAAATTAGAAATCAATGGAAAACTTAACTTCACTTTGCTTTTAAGATCGAGAATGAAAAGAACAGAAAAGCTTCAGTATAAAGCTCAAGCGGTAAACAAATTGACCAACCACACAGTCGATGATTCCCTTTACAGCTCGAGAATATTCGATTGTGTTTAGTCAATCCTTTTATTGCTCAAGTTTTTCTGCCAAGACCTTAAGTATCACGAACGAAGAACGTCACGGGAGAGAGGATACGTAAGGTCCGATTATTTCGCGACAATTTCGATCATTAAGGTCCAGCGTGATGGGCCTGGACCTGAATCGATCGTGGAACTGCATCTCCGAATGGATACATCCCACCTTGCTCGCCGCAAGATCGCTACTGAAGTCCCTCGAGAAGAATTCGCAAACACCTTTGGACTGCGTGTTGGATCTGCACGCGCATACCAATGCGACAGGTGTTTTCGTTTACGGAAGCACGTACGAGGACGTCTACAGGTAATTCTAACCCTTTTTCGGCCGCGTAACATTAGAGGTCTCGTTAAACCGGAGCCCGTTGAAGCGTGAAAATGAGTCACGTTCTACTGAAGCGAAAAAAGGAAGGAAAAGGTCGTCGCCGTGACCTTCGTAACTAACCGTAAGCCCGTGTAATCCAATCTGATTGACGGCTGCCAGCCTCTCAGGTACGAGAGACACATTGTGCTGCCGAAATTGTTGGCTCAACACGCGGAGGACTACGAGCTGGGAAACACCATGTACAATCAGGACCATAACAAAGCCGGGACAGCTCGTCGTTATCTGTGCTCCATTCTGAAGGAGCACGTCAACTGCTACAGCATCGAGGTTTCCATGTACGGTTACAACAAGAAAGGGATGCCCGGCATAATGCCGTACACGGAAGAGAGCTGTATCCTTCGCGCGACCCCCCCCCCCCCCCCCCATGATAACAAGACACGTCGAAGTGATCGCGAATGAATACCCAAGTAGAAGAATTTCCAGGAAAAACTGAAAACTCACTAGCCAGAAATTGGCTAGCTAGGATTTAAACAGCGATATCTCAGAAGCTGGACAGGAAAATGGTGGTCAAATAATGGTCATGTAAATACATAATATAATACATATACATTCTTGTCCCGCTTTGAGCCATTCTCAGTAAAAAATATAAACATTGAATGCTATCAAAATATTTTGCGTCTCTCCTGAGAAGCGACCATGAATATGGCCTATACTGAGAGAAAAAAATAGTTGGAATAACTATAATCTCACTATATTTTATAGTTCGTTTTGGCCTCAAACATATATTTATAGTTCATTTAAACATGAAGATATAGTAGAATGAACACAGATTTATAGTCACCATCTTATTACTCTATATATATGGTAAAGCACCTTTTGGGAATATAGTTACATGTACTTATATTTGCCAAATATTCCAATTGTATTGACTATATAAAATAGTTAATTTCTCTTACCATTCAATATTTGCCATATTTACCATATTTTTTATTTCAAATAATTATAATTCTTGGTAAAAATTTTACACGGGTCAGTTATACTATACTTATATTGTAAATATTACAAATATTATGGTAACATTTACTATAAAAATTATATTCCTAACTATAATATTTTTGCTATGCCATTATAGTTCCAAATATCATACATTTTTCTCTCAGTGTACGAGCAATGCATCGGCAATGCACATGGATTGAAGTAAAGTTCACACTGGCTTCATCCATGTGCTGAGTGGGGAACTGATCGGTGAACAGGAGAGGATCTTTGCAGTGACATCTCGTCTAAAATAAGTCTCGTATAAAATAACTTTTCTTACCCGATGTGACATATTTCTTTCTTATCGTGCGTTTAGCATAAAAATACTTAGATAGGCGTTCAATGTTTATATTTCTTACTGACAACGGCTCACAGCAGGGCCGAAACGTATATGTATTGTATTGTGTATTTACATGACTATTAGATATTATTATCAGCTCCAAAATCCAGCTTTTATTTGTTTGTTTTTTAATCTTTTTTAGTTGTGATTGTATATCAGCACTGAGCCGTTATTTATTAAATCGTCGGATAGTGTTACGATATATGGGGCGTGATTCACCTTATTTCATCTTATCAGCCGACGTTGCATTCGAGAAATTTCAAGCCTTGACTGTCAGACTCGATCGCAGATTACAGGCTGGGTCGTAATCTGGCTCGTGTCTTCCTGGAGTACTACAAGCTTACTGGGCTTATCCCGTCCGGGCTGCCCGATCAGCCGTCGAACAGGCGAACGCGTCAATCCCGACAGAGACATCGTCTTCCAAGGGAGCCCCGGCCGAGAACAATCAGGACTCCGGCGACCTTGCATCTCGCCAGCATTTATGAGTAATTATCTCTAACCTTTTCACGCGATATCAATCGCGATGGATCTCGCAGAGTTATCGCCATTATCATGAGACGTACATAACAAAAATGAAAGTAAGACCCGTATTACCTCTTAAATGATATGCCTGGACAAAATTCGTGATAAAATATTAAATTCCTATGTTGATTTACTTAAGCTATTGTATATCTTCTTAATTCATAGCACGAACAAATTAGCTTTGTATTCCATTTTCCAAAATTCTATAAGAAAAATAGCAATAAAGAGAAAACTCTAGGTATATGTTTATTAAAAGAAAAACTCGCCCTCCTCCCGGGGGGAATTGCGCAGATATTTAAATCATCACTGAATAGGAAACAATTGACACTTGAAACTTGTCTCACACGAGACGTTCAGATTTTTACTCAAAGCTCCAATTGAAAAGCTCCCATCTAACTCTGAATTCAAATCTGAGTACCTCACTTCAAACAATTTTCAAATGACAACTATTAATAAGACTTAAGAAGAAGAAAGAGAGCGCAGCTTGCTTGAGTCAATCAATGTTTTATCAACGTCTGCTTTCCCGTGATGAATAAAGAATCAAGTCCGCCGTCTCCAAGAGCGATAGCTCTCCGAGCGGGGCGCTTTGCGGGCGGGGAGTTTCGCTCCAATGTCGACCAATGCGAGAAAGGGTGGAAAGTGCAATCCGCGTGATCGCGCGCCCGTTCGTTTAGCTCGCACCCGAAATAGATCTCGCTCGCCCGCGTTGCATGCGCTATTTGTCGGCGTTACTACCGTCGTTACTACGGTAGTCGGCTAATCTCGGGTCGAATCGTCAGGTACTTCCGGGAGGAGGCTGCTGAGCCGCTCCCGAGCGCGCGTTACCGATCGATGAGCGGGACGCGGATGGGCCAGCCCGGAACCGGAATCGCGAGTGAAACTGGAACGACGGGCGTCGGCGGGTGCAGGAGCCGGAGCTACAGGTTCCGGAGCCCCGGGGCACCACTCGACAGGGTGCAATCCCTGACGACGGGACGATCCGCCGCTGCCGCCACCGTCGCCGCCGAGCCGCGGCTCACCATTATCGATTTCAATCAGCTGACACGGGGCGGTTTGGAGCTCGCGACCAGCAGGAACCGAGCGACGGTACCTCGCAGGAGCGTCAAGTCGCGCAGATAACGATCATCCCGCCTCGGATTTCCTCCCCGACGCGAAATCCACGGAGACGCGGACGTCTCCGCGGCTAAAATTTCACACGGCTACTACGCACTACGCCACTTCCATTGCGTAACACGGACAGGGCGAGGGAGGCTAGGGGCTTGCTTTCGCGCCTGCATCGCTGTGCTGTTATCCACGCGCTGGAACAGCTTCCGCGAGATAAGAGTATCGATGAGCGGCCGGTGGGGGGAAGACGCCGACGTTGATCTGCGCGGAATGCTCGCAATTCTCGTATTTGGTCAAGGAGCTGAACTGTCGCGTCGCGTCGATCGACACAGGAGAGAGAAGGCTTTTCTCGAGGAGGAGAGGAAGAGATCTTCTTTTCGGGGCGATTGTATCGAATATCGCGGATGCTGAGTATGCGCGTTAGTGATAAGCTTTCGTTTCTCTTAGAATAATGTCGACTCGGAAGATATCTCGACGATAACGGGGCGCGAGAGCACACAGAAAAGTGTAAGCAGCAAGCGAATTGTCAATCACAGCTGATTATTCTCCTTACAATCCGAGAATAATCGATGGTGATTGGTTCATTTTCTTACTGCTTACATTTCTCTGTGTGCCGCGGCTCTTAAGGGTCGTTCACAATGAGGTCGCGATTACGCTTCAAAGTGGTGGCACTAGTCTGTGAATCCATCATGTGTCTACTTCCTTCGCGTGAACTTCGCGAAGAGTTTTTTTGAATTCGTCAATGAAACTTTATATCCTTCACGAGGTTACGCGAAAGAAATAGTATACACGATCGCTTCACAGACTGGTCCTACGACTTTCAAACGTAACCGCGGCCACATTGTAGACGATCCTTTATTCTTCGCACTGTCAAACGTTGATTCTCTTTCTCTCTTTCTCTCTCTCTCTCTCTCTCTCTCTCTCTCTCTCTCTCTCACGCAAACGCACAAGAGCGTATTTCTCCGACCTTCTCTTATGCTACCTTAGACACCTTATTCGTGACAATAAATGATTTCCCTGGTTGCTAGAGCTTATCGATAAAGCGATACGTATACCTTACCGTGTGTATGTATACATTTTCATGAGACTTGTTACATTTCTTATGGTCGTTTATGATATCGTTGCCAAGAGATAATAACTATGTTATGCTAACTACTTCTACGTTAAAATGTAGATATGTTGACAAAATAAAATGGATTATCAAGAATCAAATGAAACTTGGAAAAATACATGCTTTCACACATTACAACACCGTTCCCGAATCGCAGCTGGAGCTTCGTGCGTAATTATTTTGTGAAGTTTGCACGTATCGAAGTGTACAATCGCCACGCGACGGTTGTTAATTTGGAAAAATGAATTTTCGAAATATCTCGACACAGATAATTTGCGGGCATTTTCCAACAAGAAATATCTGAGGAGAAATATCTGATTAACTTTCCGAGAAGAGATATCTGATTAACGAACCGCCAATTTGGAAATCTCTTTGATAATGCAATAGTAATGAATTGACTCCTTTCGTGCTCTGAATTGACGACGCCATTCAAAGTTTCTTGTAAAATTAGAGGTCAACGCCGTTGCCGGCGCCTTTTGAGTTTCAAAGCTATGGCTACTTTAGATCTAAAAGCCGAAAGAGGTTTTTGAGTGTTTCACAAGAAACTTTAAAAGGTGTCCTTGGGACGTACAGCAGAGTCGACATCGCGTTGATCGTCGGATGAAACGATCAGGTAGCGGGCCAAGATGCGAAACCGTTTGGTTGGCCGAGCAAAACACCTGTCGTATTTTCGTGAAGCACACACACACACACACCGGTAGACAGTGGTCGTGTGGCGAACGGACAATGCTTCAGGTGCTTTTCGGGAACGATCGCGGCGCTCTGCCGGCACTTGCTCGACGATGATGTTTGCACGTACCTGAGAAGGTGACAATTACGTTTCCTAAAACTCAACGAACCCGCGCTCGATGCACGCGCGCATTGAATGGACAGAACACGCAGGTACTACGCGACGGCCCGGTACACCTGGCCAGGTACGGACCTAAGGATACTCGGATACTGGGCGCGGGTGTGTCCGTGCATTTAACGGACGACGGCGACGATAACGGCAACGACGACAACGACGGGAAAGTCGTGTATACTAATCGTGCTTGCGAATTCAACCACGAACAACGAACAAACGAATTTACCGTGTGCGTGTACCGTATACGTCACTGTACGTGTGCGTACGTGTGTATACACCAGGTATATGTGTGTTTTCTCGAGCGTCGATGTGATGTACGGGTGCGTGTGCGTGTGTGTACGTTCGTGGAGACGACGTTGTGCGTGAGAGCGTCGGTCGGTGTCCCTACGCGACGACGGTGCGTCTGTGTGTGTGTGTGTGTGTGTGTGTGTGTGTATGTGTGTGTGTGTGTGTGTGTGTGTGTGTAGTTGTGTGTGTGTATACGTATGTATATGTATATACTGTTTCGTGTACGTGTGCTGATACTGCGGTTATATATTATACGTGTACATGTCAATCAATCGGAACTGAAGAGGAACTAAAACGGAAAGAAATGAAACTATAGCGAAAGAAGGGAGCAGACAAGCGGCCAGTAGCTCTTCTACCCCTGAGCTCGAGACGGAACTGGCCCGTGGGCCGCCCGGCTGCCTGGCGAGACCCCAGCGACACCCCTCGACTCCGCCACCCGCCACCAGCCATCCTCCTTCGCCGTTCTCCCTCCTGCCGCCCTTTGCCTCACCGCCACCCCTCGATGACGTTCTCTTTCGCACTCCCGTCGTCGAGAGTACACCGTCGCGCATCCCCCTCGAACCGGGCTCGGTACTTCGGGGTTGGACGAGAGCAGGGCGGTGGTCGTTGAACCAGGTATATAGCCGGCTGCCGTCTGCGTCGTGCGAGTTGCGCAGCGGCAAAACCGCCCTTACACAACACACACACACACATACGCAGACATGCATATCGTTCACCACCCCCGTCCTCATCCCTTGCCTATCCCGCGGGGTTACAACCCCCGCGTGCACCCTGTCGCCGCAGCGTAGCTCTCGGACGGTTCCCCAGGAGAAGCGACTAACCTCCGCGAACCCGGCAGGGCGTGGAGAGGACGAGGGGTCGGGACCGTTGTCGGGCGAAGGGGTGGTAGGCGGAGGAGGAGGATGAGGAGGAGGAGGAGGGTTGAATAGCAAGGGGATGGATCTGTGCAGCGGAGTCGACGTGTACGTGTACGTGCGCTAGTGGATTAATATCGGAGCCCGCGTTGGATTCTCGCCGGGGCCCGAAATGATTTAATTCCGGGCTTTAATCCGGGCTTTTATCCGCGCCTCGATATCAGATTATACATCGTCGGGCCTTCTTTTTTCTCCTCGCCCTTTCTTTCATCCGCCGCGGGAACCGCGCCAAGAACCGGCGATCGAGCCTCTCCCTCCCTCCCTCCTCTCTACCTCTGAATTTCTATTTTTCTTCTCATAAAGGTTCGGGTGTTTTATCGTACCCGAGGGGGGAAACTTTGTATCGGAGCTGTTGACTCTATACGCGCCTCTTTTCCCCTTGTCGTTACGCCTTATGTGTATCTCTCTGTCGCGAGTTTTAATTTTAAAATATAACAAAATGGACCGCAAAGATATTTTGTAGGTATAAGATATTTTAAATAGAGATGACGAAAACAGCGTGTCGAGAAATTTCCAACGGTTAATAGTTACTGACTAAAAAACGTTTTAAGATATTTCAGAGAGAGAATTGAAATATTTTATATTACGTATATATTAAATGTTATAGAGACGCCTAAGAGACGTAAAAATATTAGAGAAATGTCTCTTGGACATACGAGAGTATGCCGAGACTAATATGTTTCCTAAATTTTCATATTCACAGAGAAAAGTGAACTTCATATCCCATAAATGAATTCTCAAGTTTTTGTCTGAAACGTCGTAAAATCAGTTTAGGGCCGACTACTTTGAACTATTTTGACTACTTACATTGAGAAAAAAGTATTTGACAATTTATTTCCAGGTTTATTCACAGAAATAAATTTTACATTCCACAAATAAATTTTCAAGTGTTGTATGTCCAAGTATGTAAATTTTCTAGTATTTTTTATATTTCAGACTTTGAACTACTTTGACTACTTACATTGAGAAAAAAGTATTTGATAATTTATTTCCAGGTTTATTCACAGAAATAAATTTTATATTCCACAAATAAATTTTCAAGTGTTGTATGTTGAAGTATGTAAATTTTCTAGTATTTTTTATATTTCAGACATCTCTGTAACATCTAATATACATCTGAAAATATTTTAGTTCTTCTTCTCTCTTTCTCTTTGAAATACTTTAAAGCGTTTTTAGTCAGTGCCGCTGCTCGACTATTAATCTTCGTTCTTGGAATTTCTCGACGTGCTGTTTTTGTCTTCATCTTCATTTAAAATACCTTACACCTACGGAATTTTCTTTGTCAGTATAGATTCTATATCTGTTAATATTGTTTTGACGATAATACTTTTCACAGATACATGTTCGACGTAGGGAAATTTTCAACGACTTACTGCATGAAAAGAAAAAAAAAAGAGTAAGTTTACTCACTCGGCTCGTCGATGGCTTGCATTTCCAGACGGTCGGTGGACTTTGGCGCCGACTTGTTCTCATAAGCGATCTTCTATTGTTCGTGGTAGTGCAGTTCTTCGCAAATCTCTCAGATACTCTCTGTCGTCACGGTCGAATCTGGAACATTCCAAAAACACAGAATGCATTACGTATTTCGCTTGATATCTCCTTTTCCTCCTCTCTACCTCTTTTCAATTATTCACTTTGAATCTCAAGTTTAACGCAACGGAATCCTAGACAGCACAATATCCTGGAGGATATCCTGGAGACATTCTCAGGATACAAAAGATGATGTTCTCAAAAGATCTTTAGAATGTCCTGTGGAGATCCTGTGCTGTTGGAGATATTACCTGTATAGCGAACGCGAAGAATAACCTCACAACGCCGCGACGCGCAGCTTTTTAAATTCGACATTTAGAATGTCTTGCGTCGCCAATAGATTTCACGCAAAATCGAACGGTTACTGTAACACGATCAAGAAAATCGAGACGCGATTACATGGAGATATTGTAACAAACGAGGGACGTCGCAAGATTTCTAGCCAGAATACCGGCGTGACAAAGTTCGCGGGAAACTGAGTAGCGGAAGTAGAGTAAAAACCCAGAAAAAATTTTCTCTTGGCATATTCTAGTCAAAAAGACATTTTTCTAGTATCTTATGTCCTTTAAACGTCTTCACAACATTAAATATATACCTGAAAGTATTTCAGCTTTCTCCAAAATGCCTTAAAATTTCTCTCAATCAATAACGCTGCTCGGCTTAGGGGTTGAGTACAATAAAAGGAATAAGGAACAGGGAACAGAGATTAAGGAATAAGGAAAATAAGAAATAACACTATTCCTCTGTTCCTCTTTTCTGCGTTGATAAATTAAGTTTCATGTTTTAATATTAAACTGTTCCCTATTCTTTGTTTCCTGTTTTCTATTCTCGATTCTCTATTTCTTATTTCTTTTATTGTGCTCAGCCCTTTAATCTTCGCCGTTGGAAATTTCTCGACACGCTGTTTGCTAAGTCTATTAAAAATAACTTGTATCTATAGAATATCTTTGCAGTCCCTACACACTCGCTATTTAGTTATATTTTAAACTTGAAACTCTAGCGATAATGTCGCTAAAGGCCTATTCAGAGATAAACTTGCATGATGTGTATAGGTATAAGAAAATCAACAAATGAAGATCCGTGCAGCGAAAAGATATCTTATTGGCTTTCTGCTGTAAGTCGTTAATAATGGACGAGGAACCAGGAGTGAGTTGTAAATGAATCACTAGTCCATCATAAGACAATAACAAGTCAATGATCAGTGACTGCATGAAGATGGCCCAATTCCATTTCTTACGGCTTAAAAGTTATGATTGCTTTATGACTGACCAATCAAAGAGCAATACGTGTCCGCCATCTTTATCGAGAGAAATGGCTAGAAGTTTGTTTGTTTTCGAAGAACTTTTGAACTAATTCAATAAGTTAGAATGAAACAAATATATTTTTTCCACTTTAACTTATTGCATCAGTTCAGAAATTTTCCGAAAACGAA